AGTTGCCTGGGCTGGTCTCGAACCCGTGGGCTCAGGCAATCCACTTGCCTTGGCCTCCCAAAGTGCTGGGATGACAGGCTGAGCCACCAAGCCCAGCCGATTCTGGTATTACACAGATATGTGCAGCAGTTGTGGCCTGAGAAGGACAAGGTGACTGGGGACTCGGACCCCTGAGGCCTGGGGTCTGGGTCACCTTGCCAGGAAAACCATTCAGACCAGTGGGAGTGGTACAGCCAAAGGCAATCTCATCTGATCTCGGAAGCTAAGCAGGGTTGGGCCTGGTTAGTACTTGGATGGAAGGGAATGGAAATCTAGAATGGGTAGCAGAGGAAGGAGACACCGGCACCACTGCTGCCATGAGACCAGCAGCAATAGCAAGCACCACAGTCTAGCTCACTGGCCATTGATCAGTCTCTGCAGGCCAAGTGACCCACCAGCATCCCAGAGGAGCTGTTCTCAGGGTGAGTGAGCGTCATATGCCACAGAAGACTTTCTGGTCTGCCTGGACCACATATGTGATGGTGGTCCTGTAGGATGCTGTACCTTCACAGTAACTTTTCTTTTCTTTTTTCTTCTTTTGTTTTGAGTCAGAGTCCCATTCTGCTGCCCAGGCTGGAGGGCAGTGGCACACTCACGGCCACTGTAGCCTTGACCTGCTGGGCTCAGGCAATCCTTCTGTCTCAGCCTTCCAAGCACCTGGAACTACGGGCGAGTGCCACCATGCCTGGTTTATTTTTTGATTTATTGTAGAGATGAAATCTCACCAAATTGCCCAGGCTGGTCTTGAACCCCTGAGCTTAGGCAATCCTCTCGCCTTGGCCTACCAAAGTGCTGGGATTACAGATATGAGCCACCACGCCTGGCCTCACAGTGTCTTTTCTATGTTCAGATACACAATAGTCATGTTGTGTTACTGCTGCCTGCATGGCTCAGCAAGAACATACTGTATGGCAGAGGTCCCCAACCCCTGAGCCATGGATCTGTACTGCCTATGGTCGGTCAGGAACCCAGTCACACAGCAGGAGGTGAGTGGCAGGCAAGCAGGGCTCCGACTTCTGTCAGATCAGCAGTGGCGTTGAATCCTCAGAGGAGCACAGACTCTACTGAGCAACGTGCGTGAAGGATCTAGGTTGCATGCCCCTTATGAGACTCTAAGGCCTGATGATCCCCACTCCCCATCCATGGAAAAGGTGTCTTCCACAAAACTGGTCTCTGATGCCAAAACCGGTTTGCAGCCCAGAGCATGAGGCAATAAACACTATACAGTTCAGCCCAAGTGTGCCACAGGCCGTCCCACCCAGGCGTGTGTAAGAACGTTCACACAATAAGGAAACTAAGGCTGCATTTCTCAGAGTCGATCCCTGCCGCTAAGTGACATGGTGCTAAGCCTCCAAGAAGCAAGTCAATCCAAGTGGTGCCAGAAAGAGGAAGCCGTGACCGCCACCCAGATCTGTGCTTCAGAACCAAGGAGCTTGTCCTCAGGAGTGGGCAGGAGTGCTGCCTGCTAGGAGCTCACGGCTGAGGCCTTGGCAGGCATCGCTTTGGCCTGGGTGGCTGCCTTGCCTGAGGCCACACAGATTGGTGTGAGCACAGAGAGGGCCAGCCCCCTTGCCTCCACTGGGAGTCCCTCTGCAGGGCTACCCAGCTTCTGAACCCCAGCAGGCTCAGCCGAGGCCTCTGTGGCGGTGGCATCGGCACTCAGCTTTCCCTCCGCCCATACCTGCTGTTCCTCACCTGCTTCCGGGTGTTGATCCCAGCAGCCGCCTGTGCACAAATCCCCATCCCAGAGTCCATTCCCAGCATCCCATCCTCTAACAGGGACGGTGTCTCTCCTGCTCTGTGTCGAACACCCAGCACCGAGCCCAGGTCTGTGCCATCACAGGTGCTCGAGAAATATTGGTGGAATAAATAAGTAGGCTACAAAGGACCTGCCTAGTCCTCTCACAAAATGTCCTAAATTATGGCAGTAGGATTCCTTTCCTCCAAACCATTCTACCTGCTGCTGCTTGATGAACACTTCTAAAGTACCTCCTTCCTCCCCTGCTCAAGAACACTCCGTGGTTCCCCATCACCTATAGACAATCCCTTTGGCCTGGCATTCAAGGCCTATAACAAGCCCGCCCTGGCCTACCTGTCCAACCTCAGCTTTTAATTCTCACAGATTTCATCCCCAAGCTAATCAACTCAGACCACTATCCTTCCTCAGACTCAGCTCCGGCTGCCTCTGTTCACACAGTTCTCTTCTTGTGAAATATCCCACACCTTCTCCGAAACCCCTCTGAGTCTTCCCAAGTCCTCAGCATTCTTAATAGAAGGCAGTAAAATGCCATAGTTAGGTAGGGCCCAGGCTCTGGAGTCAGAGGGTCTGGGTTTATATTCCAGCTCTGACACTTCCTGGCTGTGCTGCCTGGAGTGAGTTATTTTACCTCCCTGTGCCTCTGTTTCAATAATAGAATTGACCTCATAAGAAAAATTGGAAGGTTAAAGAAGAAAATCTGAGTAAACTGTTTAAAACAGCACCTGCCACATAGTGAACACTAATGTTGGCTGTTATCATTTTTAGGGTGGGGTCTACCGTGCTTTTTCTATAATGGGTCACAGGGTAAATACTGCAGGCTCTGCAGGCAATGTGGTCTCTGATTAAACTACTCAGGGCCAGGTTCCATGGCTCAGCCTGTCATCCCAGCACTTTAGGAGACTGAGGCAAGTGGATTGCTGAGCCTGCAGGCTCAAGACTAGCCTGGGCAAAGTGGCGAGACCTCATCTCTACAATAAATAAAAAATTAGCCAGGCATGGTAACGAATGTCTGTAGTTCCAACTACTTGGAAGGCTGAGGCAGAAGGATCACTGAAGCCCTGCAGGTCGAGGCTGCAGTGGCCGGGAGCATGCCACTGTACTCTAGCCTGGGGGACAGAGTGAGACTCCAACTCAAAAAAAAAAAAAAGAAAGAAAGAAACTACTCAGCTTTTAATCCTATTGCTGTAACATAAAAATAGCCATAGATAATACACATATGAAAGGTGCAGTGTGTTCCAATAAAACTGGTTTCTTTTTTTTTTTTTTTGAAACAGGATCTTGCCCTGTTGCTCAGACTGGAGTGCAGTAGAGTGATGCCGTCACAGCTCACTGCAGCCTCAAACTCGTGGACTTAAGTGATCCTCCCGCCTCAGCCTCCCAAGTAGCTGGCACTACAAGCACATACTACCATGCCTGGCAAATTTTTTGGCAGTGTCTCACTATGTTCCCCAGGCTGGTCTTAAACTCCTGGCCTCAAGTGGTCCTCCGGCTTAAGCCTCCCAAAGTGCCAGGACCACTTTATTTACAAGGCCAGTCAGCTGGTTGTATTCAGCTCCCTGCCAGTGTTTTTGAGTCCCTCCTTTGGGACCCAGCAAAAATGGGAAGGCTTTCCTCAGCACCCCAGGAGAGAGCAGCTTCTTCCTAAAACTGAATGGTCTCAATATCCCAAACTACAACAGCAACAAAACTACACCCAGCTGACACATGGTCAGCAGTGTAATACGCCTTGAGTTTAGGCCAGGAAGGCCTGAGGTTAAGGGCACGGATGTCAAAGGCAGATGAACTCAGGTTCTCCGCTTACATGCTGCGTGACTTGGATGAAAGATTTCACCTTGGAGCCTCAGTTTTCTCCGCTGTAAAACAGCAGCTGTAATAATACAATGACAAACACCTCCTTTGTGGCCAAATGGCCAATCCATGTTAGATCTGTTATTTTTATTATTATTTGGTTTTCACAACCCTCCAGACATTGTGTTGTTTTTGCTGTTACAGCAGCAAGACGGCGACTGATTTGTGTGTGTGTGATTTAAGCATTACAGTGCTGATTATAATGCTACTCCCTTGGTGTGTTGCAACATAGCTCCTTGATATCAGAAGCCCTGGAGTAGCCATCTTTTTTTTTTCTATTTTTTTTAGGGTCTCACTGCCCAGGGTAAAGCGCAGTGGTAAGATCATGGCTCACCACAACCTCCAACTCCTTGGGCTCAAGAATTTCTCCCATTTCAGCCTCCCAACAAGCAGGTACTACAGGTATGCCACCACACCCGGCTAATTGTTTTTTTTTTTTTTTTTTTTTACTTTTTGTAGAGAGTAGGTCTCATTTTGTTGCTCAGACTGGTCTTGAACCCCCCGAACGCAAGCGATCCTCCCACTTTGTCTCCCAACGTGCCGGATAACAGACATGAGTCCACACTTGGCCTTGGAATAGCCATCTCAGCGACCTCTGCCCCACCCCCCCACCCTCCTGGACCAGGAACAGACTCGGCTGGCCGGTCGCCCAGCTGCAGGGCCCGAGCGTGGGATCTACTTACGACTGCGGGACTCCTCCGATGCCGAAGCCCACCAGGCCCCGGAGCACCAGGATCCAGGTGTACATGGGCGCAAAGGCGCTCAGGATGCCGTAGTACAAAGTCCAGAGCACGCTGATCTTCAGCCCCTGTCGGGAAGGAAGGCAACCATCACCAGGGCTTCGCGGCACTTGGGGCAGGTGGCTCCCTCCCCCCACGCCACGCTTAAAGCCAGTCATGGCCAAGCACAATGACTCAGCCTGTAATCCCAGCACTTTGGGAGGCTGAGGCGAGAGGATTGCCTGAGCCCACAGGTTTGAGACCAGCCTAGGGAACTTGGCGAGCCCTCCTCTCTACAATAAATAATAATAAAAAATTAGCCAGGACTGGTAGTGTACGCCTGTAGTTTCAGCTACTTGGAAGGCTGAGGCAGAAGGATCGCCTGAGCCCAGCAGGTGGAGGCTGCAGTGGCTGGGAGCGTGCCACTGCACTCCAGTCTGGGCGACAGAGTGAGACTCCAACTCAAAAAAAAACAAAAAGCCAACCATAGGATCACACAGCCAAGGGGATGCCTGGGGTACTCTGTGTGGCTAGTGCCAACCTCTGGGGGGTCAGTGAGAAAAACCTGGGTATTCTTGGCTGTCCCAGTGATTGGCATTTGATGTCAATCTGGGCCTAGAGATGCCAGATATTCCTCAATGTGGAAGACACCACAGACTCATCCTGTTCTCTTGCCCAGCCTGACCCTCATTCAACTGACCACTCTGGCAACGGCGATGGGCACCTAAACCTTCGCTTTGTTTTACATATAAACAGGATTTGAGGGGGCCTCATTTGAATATACACTTAATCTTTTAGAATGGTAATATCCAAGCAAATTGAAGGAAGATTTGCTCTGTTTTATCCAGAACTTTCAAAATCGTTCCTTTCGGAAGACCACGTTGTTCATGGCAACGCACCACGTGGTAGTCAGTCACACTGATGGGATGCATCCGAGTTGGGCTGCATTTGCGGGGTTTACCTGTGAAAAGACTGATCTAGGCCTGGTTACGAAATGTCAGACAGAAAAAGCTGCAGTAACATCCGGTAAAATCCAAACTGATTTATAAGCAGGGGCATATAAGAGGAACCACTTCCTCTCATCACTCATTCAGAGTTGTGGGTGAACATTCGCATATCGAGGATAAAGCTTGTTTTACCAATGACCTTTTTTGTTTCTCCCTTATATCATAGTCAGGGCATTAGAACCGATTCTTTCTTTTTTTGCCTCATTCATAAGTTTATTTTGGCAGCATTGTTTTAATAGTGCAGTGGCACGCTCCTGGCCACTGCAGCCACTGAGAGGTATTTTTACCATAAAGGGTAAAATGTAATATAAAGTCTGTTTTTCTGTGTTGGCAAGTTCATTCTGGAGTTATTTTACTGAATGACATATCCCTACATCCTCCCAATTTGCAAACCAAACAAAGAACTGATTTCTTTCTTTCTTTCTTGTTTTTTTGAGCCAGGGTCTCACTTTGTCCACCAGGCTGGAATGCGATGGCGCGATCTTGATTCACTGCAGCCTCAACCTCCTGGCCCCAAACGGTTCTCCCACCTCAGCCTCCTGAGTAGCTAGAACTACAGGCATGCACCACCATGCACAGCTACTTTTTCTGATTTTTTGTAGAGATGAGTTCTCGCTATATTGCCCAGCTAGTCTCAAACTCCTGGGCTCAAGTAGTCCTCCCACCTCCATTCCCCAATGTGCTGGGATTACATGCATGAGCCACTGTGCCCAGCCTGATTTCTTTTTTAAAGTGTGTGAGTGATTAGATTATTTTATCTTAGAAGTTTACTTCTGGATAGTTAAGAAGGCATCATGTAAAACTTCACTTTTTTTGGAGATGAGATCTCACTATGTTGCCCAGGCTGGACTTGAACTCCTGGGCTCAAGTGCTGGGTTACCACACCCAGCAACTTTTTCACATTTTTTTTTTTAAGAAAAAGAGACACGTGTCCAACAGGGTTGAAAACTACAGAGGGACAAATGCTTTAAGACAAATCTGGTACATATTCCTGGAGTAGCAATTATGTTCAGGAATTGGGGAAAGAAATTAAGGGTGAACATAATTTAAAATACTATTTTAGCAGGGCACGGTGATCCCAGCACTTTGGAAGGCAGAGGGGAGAGGATTGCCTGAGCCCACAGGTTTGAGACCAGCCCGGCCAACTTGGCAAGACCACATCTCTACAATAAACCAAAAAAATAGCCGGGAGAGGTGGCATGCACCTGTAGTTCCAGCTACTTGGAAGGCTGAGGCAGAAGGATCACCTGAGTCCTACAAGTCAAGGCTACAGTGGCCATGAGTGTGTCACTGCACTCCAGCCTGGACGACAGAGAGAGACTCCAACTCAAAAAAAAAAATACTATTTTATATCACAACACCAAATAGATGAAGGAATACAATGCAAATTTTATGTGAATTTCAAACCTGAGTATGAGCTTTGGGGCAGGCCTCTCTCCACAGCCGTCCTCCCAGAATGCCAAGGTTGAACAAAGCCTCTTGCCCCACTGGGGACACTTACAGAGGAAGGTATAAAACAGATTATTTTTGCAGACATTTCCTACTTAGGATAGTTTTTATTGATCTTTGACTTAAGACTCCATAAAGTTTCTCTCTCCAAAAAAAAAAACCATTTTCTTCTTAAAAAAAAAAACAAAACAAGGAGGGATAAAGAAATATATTAGGTACACGAGAAAATAGGAAGGACAGGAATTACTCAAGTCTAGCAAGCAATCATAACAAAGCAACATCTCTGTGCCCTAAACCCAAGATGTGAAGTGGGTAGACCCCACACTGATGTTTCATTTCTTTCTTTCGTCCTGGGCTCAAGTAGTCCTTCCACCTCAGCCTCCTGAGTAGCTGAGACTACAGGCATGTGCCACCATGCCCACCTAATTTTTTTTTTTTTTTTTTTGTAGAGGCAGGATCTTGCTATGGTCTCAAACTGGATGGCTGGCTGGTCTTCAACTCCTGGCCCCAAGCAATTCTTCCACATTGGCCTCCCAAATTTCTGGGAGTACAGGTGTGAGCCACTAGGCCCAGTCTGGTTTAAGATAATTTAATAGAGATTTTTCTTCCTTGAAATCCAAGGAATCTTGAAGTAAATATAAAACATAATTAGCAGCAGAGAAAATAAAAGGGAAGATGAAAAACAGAACAGGAGAAGAGAAGAGGTGGACAGGCAAGGGCACCCAGCCCAAGGCACACACTCAGCCCTCCATCGAGAGCTGCCAGGAGCCATATTATCCCCTGCCTGTAGCAAAGACAGGCACGCTAACCTGTCCTGTTCGGCCACAGCAGGGTGCAACTGGCTTTGCATGTGTCTGCCGATGCCAGTGCTTTTCAGCTGCCCCGAAACTGAGGACTTAGCAACCATGTGTAAGTGCTGCCATGGCCATTAAAAAGGCAGGGTGCTGCCAGCAAGCCCCACCCAAGGGCTTCTCTGGGACCTGCAGTAAAGGCTCATGGGCCTTCGGACTTCTCAGCTATGACTGTCATTCTGCCTAACATCTGTTCTGCCCTTTACAGATAGATAGCCCCATCCTTCCTTCTTCCTTCTTTCCTCCTTCCTTCCTCCCTCCCTCTCTCCCTCCTTCCTTCTTTCTTCCTCCCTCTCTCCTTCCTTCTCTTTCTTCCTTCCTTCTACATTTATTGAGCGCCCCCTCTATGCCCAGGTCCAGGGATAGATGCATAGACATTATGCATTCATTAATTTGTTCATTCAATTATTCATTCACTAAGCATTTATTAAGCACCTGCTGTATGCCAGACATTGATATATATTATTCATCCATCCATTCATTAGTTTATTCAATAGACATATGTTGAACAATTGCTGTTTAGGGCACAGTGTATCCAGCACTAGAGGTACCGATATGATATATATTATTCATTCATCTATGTGTTCAATATGCATGTATTGAGCACCTGCTGTGTGCCTGGCAGTAAAGATACCAATATATGTTATTCATTCATTCATCCATGCAATACGTGTGTATCGAATACTTCTGTTTGCTAGGCACTAGGCTACCATAGGGAATATGACAGCCAGAGTCTCTGACTTCATGGAACTTTCATTTGCATTTTATAAACCGCTGCCACATTATTATGCTGGATCCTCATAGCAACTCTGTAAAAGAGGTTATTTCCGTTTCTACTGTACAAATTAGCATAGCAAGGACCAAAGTAGCCAAGTGATTTGCTCAAGATCAGCAAGTGGCAGAGCTGAAACTTGAGCCAGGACTTCCAAGCACAAAAGCTATACTTTAAATGAGCCACTCCCCTCCTTTAGAGCCTCTGATGGTTCCCTGGTACCTCTAACAGAGAACAAAAATGCACAATGCAGGTGTGATCTAGCAAGGATGGATGAGCCTGGGGCAATGGGAAAGAACTTGGCTTGCCTTGTCAGTCTCTGTTCAGCTCCAACCAAAAGTTACCATGACAAAATGTGGGCCCCAGGCTGCCAGACTACCTGATTCTCAAGAAAATAATAACTATTTTTATGCAAAATATGTCATTTTTTGGAATGCAGGTAACCAATTCAACAAGCTCATAAGACATTGTGTGGGATAAACAAAATACATCAGGGACCATATTTGGCCCATGGGTCACCAGCTTGCAGCCTGTAGCCCAGAAAGCCTGGTGGCCCATGGGCCAAATACAGCCCGTGATATTCTCCAATTATGCTCAACTATGAGGAAGTATCTACAGGGACAGAGGACCTGGGGATCCTCAGAGGCAGAGACCTGGTGCCCACCAGACATGTCTTTCCCCCCCTTAAAGATAACATGAAGGCTGGGCATGGTGGTTCACGCCTATAATCCCAGCACTTTGGGATGCCAAGGTGAGAGGATTGCCTGAGCCCCTGGGTTCAAGAACAGCCTGGGCAACTTGGCGAGACCTTATCTCTACAATAAATGTAAAACTTAGCCGGTTGTGGTGGCCCACGCCTGTAATTCCAGCTACATGGAAGACTGAGGTGGAAGGATCACCTGAACCCAGCAGGTCAAGGCTGTGTGGCCACGAGTGTGCCACTGCACTCCAGTTTGGGTGACAGGGTGAGACTCCGACTCAGAAAAACAAATAAAATAAAATAAAAACAT